GTAGACCTCAAGCTCCAAGCTTTCCGTTAGCAGCCTAGTGCATGTCACCATCAGGGACTCCATCTCACTGTTCATGGTGCTCATAAAATCCAAAGGGGCAAGCTGGGGGCCACCTTAACTACTTTGCTCAGATAGCATCACGGCTCAAAGAGAGTCCACCAGACGCGCCATGTTTCCCGAAGGTGAAGCACAGCACGGCCTGTGATGGGAAATTGGGCGAGTAATTAGGGGTGGTGGGTGAGCGTGATAAATGCAGCCGGTGTTGCAGCACTGTGCATGTGAAAAGCACTGTTTGGGGGCTGTGTGTCAGGCGTATTTCAGCGTGTGCACACAGAAGTTTAAAAGTGAGAGAACGGTGAGCAGGACGGTGCTGCGACTGCTTCAGAGTCATTTGGAAGGAGCACAGTGGTGTGGAAGCCCGTGATTAGCCAGAGGCCGGTGATTGCTGAAACTTGGGAAGTCGTCGCATGTGGGTTCATGATAGTATTCTGTGTACTTTTGAATAGGCTTGGAATGTTTTATAGTAGACATTTAAAAATTACCAGTCAAGATAACCTGGCATGTTGTGTCTTCGGTAGCAGTACATTGATAGAACACGTCACCTCTGGAGAAATGTTGCCAGAAACATTCTACCTGAATCCAGTCATGAGGAGGCAATAGGTCAGCCCAGAATTCTGTAAGACACGTACCCTGGGTTTCCCCAAAACATGAAAAACAATTGAAAGCAATGTCGGTTTTACAAAAATAACAACCAAATGTAATGGATAAACCTGTATGAGTGGCTGTTCTTCCTTACCCTGAAGAGAGGTGTTACAAATCCATGTGGGGGCCGGATGCAGCCATTGAAATAGGGATTTACAAGAGGTGATATAATAGACTTCCTGCTACTGATTTTAGGAATGATTGTGGCTTTGCGGTTCTGGGAAATACACATGGAAGGAGGGTTGTGGGGTGAGTTAATATGATGTCTGCAAATTACTTTGAACAGCGTGTGCTCTATGGATTAAGATGGATCAGATTAAATTGCTATTTTTCTAGGTCAGAATGAGGTAAGTACAGTATAAGCAAATGCCTATGGCTGAAATTAATGTTGTGAAAGAGCAAAGGAAAGCTCGGTGACAAGTGGGGCCTTGAGTTGAAGATCTGAGAGGCCTTCGTGCTTTTCAGTCAACTTCCCGTGGGCTTGAACCTCCCACAATTCAACTAGACGGAAAACGGAGCCAACCCACAAAACTGAACTCTGAGCAAATGCATTTTGGTTAGAGTAAAATGTGCTGGAAACGTGCTCTGGGAGTAATTGCCCATCAGCGCATATACATTCTCTAGGAATTAAGTCCCACCGTTCTTAAGTCGACTTAGGATATAGAAAATGAAGAACGATAGGTGGAAATTATGCATGAAAAGAGGAGCTTAATATCTCACAGAATGCTTGCATGACATTTAAAGACAAGCCCATGAGTGTAAAAAAGACAGGAAAGATCACTAGATCTATTTCAGACACCATGCCTGTATTTTCTCTTTGTCAGAGCCCACACGTGGCTTCTATTTCCATGTGGCCGGGCATTCTCTGTGATGTGGCTATGCTCTGGTGGTGGTGGTGGTGGTGGTTAGGTGTTGCCCAGGCAGTTCTGACTCAGAGCAATCCACGGAGGACAGACCAGAACACTCCCTGGCTCTGAGTGACTCCCAGTCATTGCTACACCTAAGGCCATTGTTGCAGGCCCCGCGTCAGTCCACTTCCTCTTGTCCAGGGACTTTTGACTTGGGTTTTGAGTCGGGATGCCGAACCATAAGCTAACGGTCAGTAGAAATTCTGTATCTGGTATAGTGGCTTACACATGGGGCTGCTAACCACAAGGACAGCAGTTCGAAACCACCAGCCAGTCCTTGGTAGAAAGAGAGACTTTCTGCTCCAGGAAAGAGTTACAGTCTCAGAAGCCCCACAGGGGCAGAGTTTTTACTCTGTCCTATAGGATCACGTTGATTCGACCTGACTTGGTGGGGGGAGTTTGAGGTTTTTGCTCTATCCACCATGATGTCTTTTTGCAGGGACTGGTTCCTCCTGGTACCTTGTCTGAGGGACGTGAGGCAGTCTCACTATCCTCACGTTTAGGTTTTGCAAAAGCCTTATTCTCCACTTGCCCTTCTTCACTTTTGCTGACAGCTGAAGCACATTTTGCTCAGGGTCATTGGGCAGCGGTGGCTCTGTGTACCCTGCAGGTGGATAGAGCTGCTAAATGGTGATTTCTGGTCCCGTCAGAAAATGTCCCTAAGTGCTTAGGTTGGCCTGTGGTTTTATATGTTGTCTCTTTTGAATCCCAAGCAGATACCTAAAGAAGTGGCTGACATTTTTAACGCCCCCAGTGACGATGAAGAGTTTGTTGGCTTCCGAGATGATGTTCCCATGGAAACCCTCTCTGAAGAGAGCTTCAGCAGTTTCAACTCACTGGAGTTGGAGGAGAAGGTACGGCCTCCTCCTAGGCAGGTGTGCCCCTCTGGAGGCCTGCTTCTGGGTTTGGATGTTCTTTTATTGGAGTGTGGCCGCCGTCCATACTTGCCAGGTGTTTTATAGCGTTATACACCTTTATGTTTTCAGAAACGCGGGAGAGTGCCTAATGCGCTTTCTGCTGCTTTAATATTTTTTTTATGGCTACAATAAACTTTCTCTTTTCTTAAAAAAAATAAAAGGACCTCACATGATCAAATGCATTCTCTGTGCCCTGTCAGGGCCTCAAACTGTGGTGAGGTGGTATTCAGAACCCGCCCACATGGTTGGCAGGGGAGGACCAGCCCCGCGGGGCGGTAGCCCACTCTGAGGAGCACGAGGCGAGGCAGGACGTGTGGTTACTGTGAGACAATTGCATCTCGGCAGTCCTGCAGCGTGATTCTATTGGCCCTCCCTCTTGGGACGGCTGGGGGAGCACGTTATTCTTTCTTTAATGACTTTGATCTGTAGCAGACACAAGTTGCTGTTCTCCGAGAGTGAGCTTCCTGGAGGTTTATATTATGCCTTAGCAGTAGCACGGCCAATCAAAATCCCTAAGCCTCCAGCGGCATTTTTCCTCCAGTTCATTGTGGCGCTTGCCATTCCTCACGCCCCCTCCACCGCAGCGTCTTTAAAAGGCTGCGCGCGTTAAACCCTCCTTGCTTCAGGGAGGAAGCCGTTCATTATACAGAGGAAAGTGCCTGCCTGGGGTCCCTGGGTGGTGCAGATGTCTAAGCGCCCAGCTTCCTGACTGAATGGTTGAACCTCTACCCAGAGACCCCTTGGAGAAGGGGCCTGGGGATCTGCTCCTGAGAGGGCACCGTCTTGGGTACCCTGTGAAACAGCTCGGCTCTGCACTAGCTGCCACGAGTTGGAGCTGGCTCAGGGGCAACCGGTGTGACTTGTTTTAAGTGCCTGTGTAATGGCTTGAAAGGCTGTGCTCCCGCGTTCTGGTCCCTGTTGGAGCTGTTCGTTCCTTGGTCACCAGGAGCCTTCCCTGGCCCTGTTGGTCCTCGGGTTCGAAGATGTCTCCATCGCTCTGGCCCCACCAGCCCCTCCTGTTGCCTCTTGGCCTCGTCCTCTCTCAGACCATCTGCTCTTTGCTGGCATCTCTACCTGCTCCTGCCCCCAGACGTGGATGTCCTCCAGGATCTTGTCTGCAGACCTTTTCTTCCTGGAGCGATCTCATTGATTACCCTGGTTTCAATGATCCCCTCCGCATTTCTTTGTTTGTGGCTTGGCTTCTCTCTGAAGGCGCAGGTCTATTTCTGACTTGCCTTTATTGTTCAAGGAAGAGAAGACCTCTTATTGTCCCTCCCACACTGGCTCATCTCTCTGCTGCCCCCTCCTCCTCCCCTCCCCTTGACCCCCATTCAGGAGTTGATGGAACATCTACAATGTCTTGGAATCCACCACCCC